GTACACAGATCAGGCTGACTAGGGTGTCCTGTACACACAGATCAGGCTGACTAGGGTGTCCTGTGTACACAGATCAGGCTGACTAGGGTGTCCTGGGTACACAGATCAGGCAGACTAGGGTCTCCTGTGTACACAGTAGGCAGACAAGGGTGTACTGTGTACACAGTAGGCAGAGTAGGGTCTCCTGTGTACACAGTAGGCAGACAAGGGTGTACTGTGTACACAGAGTAGGCAGACAAGGGTGTACTGTGTACACAGTAGGCGACAAAGGGTGTACTATGTACACAGAGTAGGCTGACTAGGGTGTACTGTGTACACAGAGTAGGCTGACTAGGGTGTCCTGTGTACACAGATCAGGCTGACTAGGGTGTCCTGTGTACACAGATCAGGCTGACTAGGGTGTCCTGTGTACACAGATCAGGCTGGCTAGGGTGTCCTGGGTACACAGATCAGGCTGACTAGGGTGTCCTGTGTACACAGATCAGGCTGACTAGGATGTCCTGTGTACACAGATCAGGCTGACTAGGGTGTCCTGTGTACACAGATCAGGCTGACTAGGGTGTCCTGTGTACACAGATCAGGCTGACGAGGATGTCCTGTGTACACAGATCAGGCTGACTAGGATGTCCTGTGTACACAGATCAGGCTGACTAGGGTGTCCTGTGTACACAGATCAGGCTGACTAGGGTGTCCTGTGTACACAGATCAGGCTGACTAGGATGTCCTGGGTACACAGATCAGGCTGACTAGGATGTCCTGTGTACACAGATCAGGCTGACTAGGGTGTCCTGTGTACACAGATCAGGCTGACTAGGGTGTCCTGGGTACACAGATCAGGCTGACTAGGGTGTCCTGTGTACACAGATCAGGCTGACTAGGGTGTCCTGTGTACACAGATCAGGCTGACTAGGGTGTCCTGTGTACACAGATCAGGCTGACTAGGATGTCCTGGGTACACAGATCAGGCTGACTAGGATGTCCTGTGTACACAGATCAGGCTGACTAGGATGTCCTGTGTACACAGATCAGGCTGACTAGGGTGTCCTGTGTACACAGATCAGGCTGACTAGGGTGTCCTGTGTACACAGATCAGGCTGACTAGGATGTCCTGTGTACACAGATCAGGCTGACTAGGGTGTCCTGTGTACACAGATCAGGCTGACTAGGGTGTCCTGTGTACACAGATCAGGCTGACTAGGGTGTCCTGTGTACACAGATCAGGCTGAATAGGATGTCCTGTGTGTACACAGATCAGGCTGACTAGGATGTCCTGTGTACACAGATCAGGCTGACTAGGATGTCCTGGGTACACAGATCAGGCTGACTAGGGTGTCCTGTGTACACAGATCAGGCTGACTAGGGTGTCCTGTGTACACAGATCAGGCTTACTAGGGTGTCCTGTGTACACAGATCAGGCTGACTAGGGTGTCCTGTGTACACAGATCAGGCTGACTAGGGTGTCCTGTGTACACAGATCAGGCTGACTAGGGTGTCCTGTGTACACAGATCAGGCTGACTAGGGTGTCCTGTGTACACAGATCAGGCTGACTAGGTTGTCCTGTGTACACAGATCAGGCTGACTAGGATGTCCTGGGTACACAGATCAGGCTGACTAGGATGTCCTGGGTACACAGATCAGGCTGACTAGGGTGTCCTGTGTACACAGATCAGGCTGACTAGGGTGTCCTGGGTACACAGATCAGGCTGACTAGGATGTCCTGAGTACATAGATCAGGCTGACTAGGGTGTCCTGTGTACACAGATCAGGCTGACTAGGGTGTCCTGTGTACACAGATCAGGCTGACTAGGGTGTCCTGTGTACACAGATCAGGCTGACTAGGGTGTCCTGGGTACACAGATCAGGCAGACTAGGGTCTCCTGTGTACACAGTAGGCAGACAAGGGTGTACTGTGTACACAGTAGGCAGAGTAGGGTCTCCTGTGTACACAGTAGGCAGACAAGGGTGTACTGTGTACACAGAGTAGGCAGACTAGGGTGTACTGTGTACACAGAGTAGGCAGACAAGGGTGTACTGTGTACACAGTAGGCAGACAAGGGTGTACTATGTACACAGAGTAGGCAGACTAGGGTGTACTGTGTACACAGAGTAGGCTGACTAGGGTGTCCTGTGTACACAGATCAGGCTGACTAGGATGTCCTGGGTACACAGATCAGGCTGACTAGGGTGTCCTGTGTACACAGATCAGGCTGACTAGGGTGTCCTGTGTACACAGATCATTCAGACTAGGGTGTCCTGGGTACACAGATCAGGCTGACTAGGATGTCCTGTGTACACAGATCAGGCTGACTAGGGTGTCCTGTGTACACAGATCAGGCTGACTAGGGTGTCCTGTGTACACAGATCAGGCTGACGAGGATGTCCTGGGTACACAGATCAGGCTGACTAGGATGTCCTGTGTACACAGATCAGGCTGACTAGGGTGTCCTGTGTACACAGATCAGGCTGACTAGGGTGTCCTGGGTACACAGATCAGGCTGACTAGGGTGTCCTGTGTACACAGATCAGGCTGACTAGGGTGTCCTGTGTACACAGATCAGGCTGACTAGGGTGTCCTGTGTACACAGATCAGGCTGACTAGGATGTCCTGGGTACACAGAGATCAGGCTGACTAGGGTGTCCTGTGTACACAGATCAGGCTGACTAGGATGTCCTGTGTACACAGATCAGGCTGACTAGGGTGTCCTGTGTACACAGATCAGGCTGACTAGGGTGTCCTGTGTACACAGATCAGGCTGACTAGGGATGTCCTGTGTACACAGATCAGGCTGACTAGGGTGTCCTGTGTACACAGATCAGGCTGACTAGGGTGTCCTGTGTACACAGATCAGGCTGACTAGGGTGTCCTGGGTACACAGATCAGGCTGACTAGGTTGTCCCTGTACACAGATCAGGCTGACTAGGATGTCCCTGCAGGTGTACACAGATCAGGGTGTCCCTGTGTACACAGATCAGGCTGACTAGGATGTCCTGTGTACACAGATCAGGCTGACTAGGATGTCCTGGGTACACAGATCAGGCTGACTAGGGGTGTCCTGTGTACACAGATCAGGCTGACTAGGGTGTCCTGTGTACACAGATCAGGCTGACTAGGGTGTCCTAGGTACACAGATCAGGCTGACTAGGGTGTCCTGTGTACACAGATCAGGCTGACTAGGGTGTCCTGTGTACACAGATCAGGCTGACTAGGGTGTCCTGTGTACACAGATCAGGGGCTGACTAGGGTGTCCTGTGTACACAGATCAGGCTGACTAGGGTGTCCTGTGTACACAGATCAGGCTGACTAGGATGTCCTGTGTACACAGATCAGGCTGACTAGGGTGTCCTGTGTACACAGATCAGGCTGACTAGGATGTCCTGTGTACACAGATGTGCTGTAGGGATGTACACAGAGTAGGCAGACTAGGGTCTCCTGGCAGACAAAGTACACAGATAGGCAGACAAGGGTGTACTGTGTACACAGAGTAGGCAGACAAGGGTGTACTGTGTACACAGTAGGCAGACAAGGGTGTACTATGTACACAGAGTAGGCAGACTAGGGTGTACTGTGTACACAGAGTAGGCTGACTAGGGTGACTGCAACTCATGTCCAGAGTGCAAACCGATGAGTGAATGACTGTCAATATATATAAAAGACTTCAGACTTGGTTGATATCCTGCTTGTGGTAGCAGGAATGTTCAGTGTTCTTTAAGCTAACACACAAGTTCTTTCACATGCTAGCTTACTCACAATTACATAATATTTAAAGGCTGTTATGCAAGATGCAGATGCAAGCTTTAGATAATTTTGTGGATCATTACTTGATTTAGCAATTTTTCACCTTACAACTAACTCTAAATTCACAACAATCTCATCAAAATCTGACCTTAGTTGTTGCTGCTACTAAACAAGGCCTGAAGACATCTGCATAACTCATAATCCATCCAGTATTCCTTGATGGAACAAGGAGGCCTCTCAGAATGTATATATGATCTTGGACAATTTCTTAAATGTGTTAGAAGTCTCAGTTGGATGGGGAAAACTGAAATGAAACAATATTGTGTTCTGCTACAGGTCATTGCAGGCCACATAACAATTCAGAATTCTTAAATACATGGAGAATTCAAAATGCTTTATTAAAATTAAATACTAAATTAAGATTTGAATAATGTAAATTTTGAAAAACAGATGACAAAAGTAGTTTGTTTTTTTCTCAAAAAATGAACTTTATATATTACTGCTTTTTGAAACTAAGAATGGAATAGACTAAAAAGATCATTATTCAAACTGGGTTTTGAACATTATTGCTCTCGTGGTGTTCTTCAAATGTACATAAATAATACTGATGAAAAGATTGCATTCTTTAGGCTTGTGTTTAGATTTGGTGATATGTTTAATCTTTACAAAAAGACATATAAAGACTCTGTTTGTTTTTGGATTTTTGTCAAACTTGGCTGTGCAATATACAAAATATATTACCAATATGAACACATTCAAATGATAGAAACTGATTTCAACTTTATTTAAGATACATGTACATATGATTAAAATGACTTTCTTGGAGACCTCAATCATTCTTGAAAAACATTCTGTACAGTCATCAGACAGTATGTATATGTTGTTACCCCAGAATCAGAAATATGTTGCATTTGAAATAACATTATTCTATTTGAAATATTCATATATTGTTGATATCATTTAGAGTGTGGATGGATAGCCTAGTGGTTAAAGCGTTTGCTCGTCACGCTGAAGACCTGGGTTCTATTCACCATATTCCCTCAATGTACATTTCTGGTGTCCCCCACCGTCATATTGCTGGAATATTGTAAAAAGCCAAACTAAACTCACTGATATCATTTAGTAGAAAGTGATGTCTTATAATGTTAACGAGCTAAATGGATTAAATATTCTGCCATTGTTTGAATCTGAATATGGTCATGTCTGAGAGATAAAGACAGATTTGTCATGTCAGCACTCTGGAGAGGTTTCTATGCATTGCAGGCTACAAGGATCTGCAGACTCGCAAGGAGACGAGAGAGGCGGCTTGGAGTCGGCCGGGATGGGATGAATGTGTGTCCTATACAGGTAGACACACATTATTTATAAGAAAACTTATATAAGAATAGTGCATGTCAGGTAAGGTATGCACACACACATGCACAGGTCACACACACACACACACACACACACACACACACACACACACACACACACACACACACACAGACAGACAGACACAGAGAGAGAGAGGGTGGGGTGTTTGTGCATGCACAGTTGACTGTAACACTGTTCCGGCCTCCACCAATATTCAGGATGCTTGAGTAAACCACATCATTGTTTTGAGATGGGTGTTGTGAGGTTGGTATTGCCAGAAATCAGCTTTCAAAGCAATTACTAGTCATCAGTCATAAATCTTAGTGACTGCTGAAAATGTTACAGCTGATTAAGTATATGCTTGAGACTTATTTCAGTCTGATTCACCCAAGTTATCAAGACCGTTGTTTTCTGTTTACATAAAGTTAGATCTGTGTTACTCTTATTCCACAATATAGCAATGAGTTCCGTGGACAATTACAGTGCTGATTTGTTGTGTTTCAGTCCCACTGATCCGTCACATGCAGTCTCGTATCCTGATCCCAACTCCATTCTCCCTCTGCAGTAGTGGCCCTGGCTACTCTCCTGTGTGAACTGTAGTGCTTAGAGTCTGTGTGCTGCAGATCACAGACAGGCACCACTGGTGGTTGCAAGTCTCTACAATTGTAATATATACATAATACAAGTGATCTGACCTACAAACGTCTCTTATTATTTGTCAGCATTCCCATTTTATGGGAGACTGAGATTTCTTGCTGTAGTGTGAAGGTTACTGCTAAACACTGGTGCAGTCTGTGGGTACTTGTTTACAGAGTGCAGTGTCACATCAAACAAAATACCCATTGGCAAGTTGATGCATCTGGTCAGAGTCTGGCTTTGTACATCAGTGTAAACGTTTGAATGATAAGGCCATTCTGTACAAGGTATGAGTTGATATGACTGGAAGCATCAGGAGCTTTGTTTTAATCCATCTGAATAACAACTTGATCAAGCCAAACAAAATAAACATTCAGTACTATTTATTGGCTACACTTCTTTTCCTTGTGTTCTTGGCTGGGGGGTATTTAAACACCTGACAACCTGCAGACATTAAAGTAGATGGACAGAGAAATTTCCATCAACTTTCTCAACTGGGCATTGAAACCAACATAGATGTTGTATGTGCTAATATCTTAGGTTTCCACTGCAACATGCAACTTGCAACTGCAACATGTTAACTGTTGCAGCTCCGTAACATTTTAGTTTCTAACTGAAAAGTGATAACTAATCACAGTGTCTGTTTGTTGATGATGAACAAGTGAGACAGCAATATTCTTTCCCCATTGTTCAGAAAGGGGAGATGTTTATCCCAGATGAGGGGTATCACGTGGAGAGATCATGAAGGGTGATTGTTGGAGCCATGCAACTGCCCCCAACATAAGTGTTCATTTGAGCATGTGGTGTACTGTAGCCATGAGGGTAAGCACGTATGTTGTGTGTAACAATAATGTTGATGGTGGTACAATAACTAAATAGAAGTCAGTGTTCTGGTAATATCAGTCACTGTTTACCTCCAAAGTGGCCTTAAGTTTTGAGACATGTTCATTCGTGACTCAGCTTGTTTCACCTGTTGTGTAAAGGACATGCCCTTTTGTTTGTTTCCTCATTGGTTTATGTGTGTGTACTACTACAGACTCCGGGCGGCTGGGTAGCCCAGTACTTAAAGCATTCACTCGTCACCCCAAACACCAGGTTTGATTCCCCACATGGGTACAATGTGTGAAGCCCATTTCTAGTGTCCCCCACGGTGATATTGCTGGAATGTTGCTAAAAGCAGCGTAAAACCCAACTCACTCACTCACTTAGAGACTCGCTGTCTCTCATGTCACAGTATGCTGTGTCCTGTTACTTTGCTGTGTGACGATCTAGGCATGGATTCCAGTCTCACCTGCTTGGGGTCCTTGGTTGTATCACTAACATATCACGCATCAGTCCTATATACTGGTAGTTAATACAGTGGCAAGTGACACATGTACCGGGTAGTTCTATAGAACTGTTGAAAGTGTCAAGTACCGATAGTCACTACAGAACAAGTGAAGGTCAAATGGCCAAAACCTGATGTTCGGAAACTCCTGACCGAATTTTGTTTCATCTATCAGAATTCTATTCCCTGGCACATAATATTTGATGTGGCTACAGCTGCTGATGAAAATGAGTCGTCACCTGGTCTCTGTGTGCGTGTGTGTGTGTGTGTGTGAGAGAGAGAGAGAGGGAATCTTGACAATATTGAATAAATCGCTCGTAAAATACTTGAACGTCGGTGGTTAACCAACGGTTTCGTGTTCAGAAGTGTGTTTATTTGAGCGTATATACGAGGGGCGTTCAAAAAGTAGGCAGCCTAACTATATTCTCGATGCCCAATGTTTGAAAAGCTTCCATTTTATTTTGAAGGAATCATTAGCAAAGCCAAATTTCACATATGTGGGTAATGTGGTTAACGAGATATTAGTCACCACAACGCATTGGCTATATATTTCTTTAAAAAGATTGCAGAAAATAAAAGACGATCTGTCATTTTGTACCTCTTGGACAATGACATGCCCTCAGATGATATATAATATGTTCAGTATAGTATTTGATGACTTCCCGTCATAATCAACATTCAAAGATTTGGATTGCTTGATTTATATTTAGACGGCTGTTTTTTAAGGACACCCCCCATTTTAATCTTTCAAAAACATTGCGTCCAGATATTCAAGCTGGCACTGTTCACAATATATTGAGAGCTGACACTTGTGTGAGCATTCAGTATTTAGTTTGAACCCTTGTCATCATGTATGAATAAGTGAAAACATTATAATGAGTTATGTCCTGATGATTGTGTCATCTGAAAGGGGGTTGGGTAGTATCTCCAAAACAAGCTCTTTCAGTTAACATGAAGGGGGAAATCACTTTTTGTTTCAAGTTGCTTTTTTATGCACTTTAATATCCAAGTTTGATTCTAACGGACTTCCGCCTATTACAAACACACAAAATGTTTTTGCATATTTTGTTTCCTGAAGTTTGTGATGCATTTATTGCCGATTTTGCGTTTTTGAGGGGTACCAAGATAAAAAGTCAAACATTAAAACAGCTGCATTTGTATCATTTTCTAGGTGAGACTGACTATTTTTGAACGCCTCTCGTAACTACAGTTTCCGAGCTTTATTCCAACTCCAGCACCCCTTTATCGAGCAATTTAAAATTTTCTTAAACTTTGTTACGCGTCAGTACGACGTATGTCCACAAAGTATCTATATACTTACAACCTGTTTGGATTGCCAACTGTCCCAACGTTTCTCCCACAAAATAATATTTGCAGCGTAGACTCAGTACAGGAAATAACAGCCTTAATGGGTGGAAATGAGTCCGTATAAGAGTACACACAAACTCTCTCACTGGGCTCAATTTGTATGTTTTTCTAAGAACCGCCATGCAATTATGATGTAATTTAATGATCATGATGTACGCAGTATTATTGGCTGTCAGCTGGAAAGGGGCAGCTATCGCGTCTCTGTATAACACATATTGTACATAAGGTGCACGTTAAACGCATATCTTCAGACTTGAGGCCAGAACACTTGGATCTTGCGTTGATGAAACGCTTTCATACATGTCTAATTTCTAGCGTTTGAAATAAATGTTTTGGATATTCAGAGAAAATGTCTTATATTCACGCATCGATTGACCTGGTAAGGTTAAACTGAGGGCGTTCTGATTCTTTATAGATAACCGTCATCATGGGTAAAAATACAGAAATCTGCAGTAGTATCATAGTCACACTAATTACCCATATGGTGAAACGCAACCAGTGTCATATATATCATATGTGCACATATCACTTTTCCCTGGCAACCATTGTTTCTGTATAGGGCCGTCACACTTGCTTACCGTATGTTAATGCACAAATGTACATGAATAAAAAGGATAATAAAGAAATTATTACACTCGAGCAAGAATGCCACACGACTTATACGAAACTCGGGCAATACAAAATTTCACATTCGTTTCGTATAAGTTGTATGACATTTGCTCGTGTAATAATCTCTATATAGGCCAGTGTTGGTCCAGAAGGGACGAGGTTTCTATTGAGACATACATTCTAAAGGAACACCGAGCTGACGACCATGGTCATCGTTGCCAGTGGTTACGGATGTTACTAGAGCCTCCTGCCCCTATATGTACTCCAAGTACAACAAACACACGAGACATTATTAAGACTCCCGTTTGCTGTTACGAATCTTTTTCCATCAGAACATTTTGGTCTACTTTGAATGAATCGCACCTGGAAACCAAACCAGATCCTATTCTGAATCAATACAGCTTCTCCAAACACCATCAAGTGTGGATTATATCACCGGATGGGAGGGCCTGATCCGCAAACATTGCAGGTTCTCACATTCAAACAGTCAGTATTCCATTTGTTGTTGTTTGACGCACATTTTCTCACATTTTGTATCCAACAAGTTGCCTCGCTGCGTTGTATACTCCACAGCCTTGGTTGCGAGTTGCTGTCTGCGTCAGTTGCCTTAATGCATGTATATTCTATTCTGTCAATCTGCCATTGGGTAAAAATTATAAAGTCTTATGTAATTTGTTGAAATGACTAGATATATTCTCTCTCCTAGTGTCTGCTTCCACAGTTGAACCTACGAAGTGTCTCCCTTGCTTGTAGTGTCTATCTACTTCCGCTGCTAGGCTATCGTCTGCAAAGATTTATTTACGCTGAACGATTTCGAACGACCGCTCTAGTAAATGCCAATATCTGCTCAGCCAGGAGAAATTTACTCAAACATCCTTTACAGTATTAGATTATTCTTTTATCTTTGATGATATTTGTCAAAATCACGGAGATTTTCCATTTAGTTATCGGTAGATTACACGTAGCCTCGCGGCCGGCCTGAATGTTAAATCTCTAGTGTTGATTATCCCGACAAACATGTATGCAGTAAATGAATTGCAGTCAACTTGCTATTTGGAGTAAATATTATTGATTTGTTTGTGTGGATTGACTTCTGCTGCTGCTGATTGAGCCTGCACCCAGACTGTCGAGATTACACCATTACTTCATAGTCTATAACGAGTGGGGAGCAGCTTATTGGGTAGCATAAGGGCTTTGTACCCAGGTACAGAAATGAGATAACATGGAATCGTATGACGACTCTGTCCGTTATCTGGGAACAGACTGACATTTAGTCCCAGACATATTGGTTGAGTTATTTCACTGAGTACTTCCATTTATAACTATTTAAGTTTATTTATATATTATAAACACGCATACACACAAGAGCATTAACCATTTTTTATATAAGTCCGAAAACACTGCATGTTATTGTATATGCTTTGAAGACCATGTACGGCGTATTAAAATGGTAACTGTAAAGTACTACTGTATTAAAAACAACAACACAGCAACATGAATATCAACAATACCGCAAGGCATGGTCACCATGACTGCGCCACCAATCTGATTGACACACAGTTCTCAAATAGTATTTGTTGTGATTGTATGAACCACCACTAGCGACCACATCAGGACCTGGTGTCCACGCCTCGCATGGAAAACCTCTGCCAATCTTCTCATACTGCCTATCAAGGGTCGAATTCTCTGCATCGACATCCTTTAAAATTCCTCAAGTAATGCCTCCGTCAGTCGAATTTTGCATCCAAAGCTGCATAGTGAG